TGGATATTCACATACAAAAGAGTGAAGCTAGACTCATACCTCACACTGTATATGGAAATTAGCTCAAAATGGATCGAGGACTTAAATGCAAGAATTAAAACCATAAAACTTATAGAAGGAAATATAGAGCTAATTCTTTAGGGCCTAGTTTTTGACAAATGGATTCTTTGATATGATACAAAAAGCACTAGCAACAAAAGACAAAATAGGTAAATTAAACTTCATCAAAATAAAAAAAAACACTTTTGTTCAATAAAGGACTTAAACAACAAAGTGAAGAGACAATCCACAGACTGGGGGACCATATATCAGATTAAGTTTTAGTATCTAGAATATACACAGAACTCCTACAACTTTCCAGGAAAAAGACAAACAACCTATTAAAAAATAAGCAAAAGATTTAAATAGACATTTCACCAAAGATAACGCAAATATCCAACAATCACATGAAAAGGTGCTCAACCTCATTAACCATTAAAAACACCAAACCCACTGCCATGGAGTCCATTCTGATTCTCAGTTGACCTTAAAGGACAGCAAAGAACTGCCCCATAGGGTTTCCAAGGCTGTAAATCTTTGCAGAAGCAGACTGCCACATCTTTCTTCCACTGAATGGCCGGTGAGTTTAAGCCACCAACTTTTCAGTTAGCAGACGTAACCGTTGCACCACCAGAGATGCAGATCACCAGGCCTATCTTATGAGGCTCCTCTAAGTAGGTTCAAATTGCCAAGTAGTCGGAGTGCTTAACCATTTTCACCTAGAGTGGCTCACTCTCTGGGAGGAGCTATATGGTGGTGGTAGAAAGATCATTGTGCTTAAACTGAATCCAATATAAGCTCTGTCTCACTAAGAAGTTGGGTGACTATATCACTTCAACTTTATAATCCTCAGTTTCTTTACATTTTTTTCTTTTTCAAATGAAGATTAGTATCTTCACCTTTTAATACCACAGAGAAAGTGTGAGAAGGAACTGAGAGAAGGTGTGTAAAGATGTTGGAGTCTGTGAAGTGCTTTACAGAACAAGACTTCCTCATCTTTCGCCCACGGATCAACTAGTGGGTTTGAACTGCCAACCTTTTGGTTAGCAGCCCAATACTTTGACCACTACACCACCAAAGCTCTTTCTATTTGTTTAAAGGGAAAGAAATTTCATGCTGAATCTTGTGCTCCAGACCCAAATATCTATGATGCTAACCAGCTTGGCCAACACTTGGAACTGTGCCATCTAGTGGGGCTGCAGCTATCAAGGTGAAAACCTGCCAGCCAAGACTGGAGAGAAGAAAGGTGCAGAGGTTTCTTACCTGAGGGGGGCCTTTGGCCAATTCAAGGATGCTGGCATTAACCACCCAGGCAGTGGCATGGTGTTCCCTGAAATGTGAAAGTAAAGGGATCTCAGATATGATTTCTTCTTTTTTTAAAAATACATTTTATTGAAATATAATTTACGTACCGTGAAATACACAAAACTAAAATGACATGAGGAGCTCTGGTAGTGTAGTGCCTAAGGCACTTGACTGCTAACCAGAAGGCTGGTGGTTCAAACTCACCAACCACTCCTCGGACGGAAGGTTGGGCAATCCTATTTCTGTAGTGATACTGCCTCGGCAATCCAAGGAGGCGTCCCTATGAGTCAGGTCCAACTCGACAGCACATAACAACAACAAAGTGACATGGGTCAATGCATTTTTTTTTTTTTTTTGCAGTGTTCTCTTCCCTCCCATCCCACCCCTGGTAACCAACAAAGAAAGTTTCCTTCCATATATAAACCTTCCCTTGACTTTTTACAATAATGAACTAATATTATATTTGACCTTCTGTGATTGACTTAGTTCACTCAGCATAATGTCCTCCAAGTTCATCCATGTTATGCAGTATTTTGCAGATTCTGTGTTATTCTTTAGAGTTGCATAGTATTCCATCGTGTGTATGAACCATAGTTTGGTTATCCATTCTTCTGTTGATGAGCACCTAGATTGTTGTCTCTTTGAAGACTAAGGTATGCCTAACCCAAGCTGGTGTTTTCAATCACCCCATATGCATGTGAAAGCTGGACAATGAATAAGGAAGAGCAAAGAAGAACTGATGCTTTTGAGTTGTGGTGTTGGCAGAGAATACTGAAAGCACTGTGGACTGCCAAAAGAACTAACAAATCTGCCCTGGAAGAAATGCAACCAGAAAGTTCCTTGGAAGGAAGAATAGCCAGACTTCGTCTCAACTACTTTGGTCATGTTATTAGAAGGGACCATTCCCTGGAGAAGAATATCATGCTTGGTAAAGTAGAGGGTCAGTGAAAAAGGGGATGGCCCTCAATGAGATGGATTGATACAGTGGCTGCAATGTTAGGCTCAGATATAGCAAGGATTGTGAGGCTGGGTCAGGACCAGCCAGTGTTTCGTTCTGTTTTACATAGGGTCATTATGAGTCAGAGCTGACTTGACGGCACCTAACAACAACAACAACAACATAGCATTGCCTACAACTGCCAAATAATAATTTAATAATAATAATAAATACAAGTGATAGACAGTATACTTGTTTGTTCCACTTTATATGAGAACACTATTACATTTTCATTATATTTGATATTGGTTGTTTCTTTTCTTAAATAATGGAATATACTATACATATAGAAGGAGCCCTGGTGGCACAATGGTTAAACGTGTGCAGGTTTTGGACAGCCTGAAGCCCACGCACTTTTGAGGGCTCTTTTTAAGAAGATAGATACAAAGTTATAAATCTGTTCATAATCCTTTTGTGGAGTTTCTACTTAAATGTCATGATCAATATATTTGACAGTAAATTTGCCTCTGGAGGTCATGCTGTGACAAAAAGTCATTCAGGAAGGGGAAAGTGAGGATGGGCAGAGCATGGCTGGAGAAATAACTATACTCAGTTAGGTTCAGATTGTTGAAAAATCTTTTGCATGTATTTCCAGCATTTGTATATCTAAATAAGGGAATATTGGGCAGTGCTAAAGGGGCAGGAAGGAGGCGTCTTTTGACCTCTTCTAACTACACAAGAAGGAGCTCTGGTGGCGCAGTGCCTAAGGCACTTGACTGCTAACCAGAAAGCTGGTGGTTCAAACCCACAAGCACTCCTTGGAAGGAAGATTGGGCAATCTACTTCTGTAGTGATACTGCTTGGAAACCCAAGGAGGGGTTGCTATGAGTCGGATCTGACTCCACAGCAGTGAGTTTGTTTTTTTTCTTTGGAACTACACAAGAGGAAGACAGAATCACCATCAGCAGTCCAAGGCCTGTTCCTATGAGGCCAGACATGCCACCACCCTCCAGCCCTCTTACCAACCTTGATACTAATTGTCCTTCCCGCTGCACCCACCACCCCTGTGCTGGGTTCACTAATTTGCTGCAGTGGCCACACAGAATTCACAGATTATAGGGTTTATTAGGGAAGCAACAGGCTAGAATTCAAGTTCAGAAACATGCTCAGGATTCAGTTCCTCAATCAGGACAGTCTCCCCTCTGTTGTGCACTTAGACATACCTCTCTGGCCCTTGGCCTCTTAGCCTGGCCTCTGCCTCTGTGGGCCAGGTAAGCCTACCATTCTGTCCCATGCCTCTTGATTCTACTGCTGCCATTTGTCACCTGGGCATCTCTCTCAGCTGGCAGTGAGATTCCCCCCTCTGCCTCCAGGAAGGCTCATTTTAAGCCTGGCAGAGTGGCACAGCTAACCAATCCCAATATCAGAGTTCTACACACCTGAGAGAGAGTGAACTTTCCCAGAATATTACTTCATGCTGCTATGACAGAAATAGCCCAGGTGGATGACTCCTGATTAACAATCAGGAGTTTAAAAGCAGCTAATCAGTTGCTTATGGCAAATTCCACCGCCAAGTTAATTGCCAGTCTTATTATAAGGAATAACTACTATCAGCTGCTCAGCCAAGTAGACACGTATTTGCATGTTCCCACCCAGTAATCTGCTGGGAATTACAAAGACTATGGCTGGAAAAGCCATACCATGCAACTCACTACACTGCAGGCAGTTCTGTCAGGTCTTTACCTCTTTCCCAGACACCACATTACTTTCTCACAAAGGAGAGTACTCAAGTGACTGCATTCAGTCTGGTGCCATCTGAACCAACACTCCATAATTTTTGTGGTATTTAGAAAGCACCCTTACCTATTTTCTGGAACCAGTGGTGGTTTCCCTTTAATTTTGTATTTCATTGCTTGTTTCAGTAAGGGTTGATGTCTGCCTCAGTGTCATCATCTTTTAGGAAGTAACCCCTATCTGAAATTATTCTGAATTTTACCTCATCAGTGTACTGACAAATTAAGCAAAGGTTCTCTCCTAAGTAATACTACAGTCTCAGCCTAGGATTCACTAAGTCATGGAGCACAGTGTGAAGGGACAGACCCTGCCTGAGCACTCAGGGTGTTCAGGGTTTGTGTGGGAAGACAGGTTGCGCAAGACTGATGAGTAGAGAAGTGAGTGGTAACTCGCAGCAGACCCTGATGGATTTCAGAGGTGATGGCAGGAGGATTAATAATCAGCCAATTTAAACAATCAGCACCCACCCCATTCCATTCCCCAGATTTACTTACTTATTGGAGAAGCAATGAGCAGCAGTGATTACCCAAGTCTTTCCAATGATGACCCCTCCACAGAGATGCTTGGCGGCAATCTGTAGACTGACCTGCCATGGCCAAGAACCAGTTGAGGTTTCCTTGTCTCCCACAGTCCAGCTGGAAAGAAACCTGGGAGTGGGGGAAGTAACTCCATAGAGTCACCTGGGAGAGGAGCATGGAGATGCACCTTTATTACCTGTGGGTATTCCTCACCATCAAGCCCACTTTCTTTGTGCCAGGCACTCTGTTAGATACCTGGGAACAATAAGAAATTCCCACCTACCTTTAATATTTCCTTCCTATAGATCTCAGCTCCTTTAATCATACACACCAATTCCTGGTAATAAAACTACTAGTTCTGTTTCTTGGTAGAACTTTGACTGATACACCCTTTGTATATTGATTGGTCACATTCCCCAGACCAGCTTACCAGAAATGATAGTTTCTTCAGGTAGTACATTCCATGTATTCTCCAGAAGCGCTGACTCATCCTCTGATGTGGAAGTGTTTAAATCTGGGTGTAAGCATAACACAATTGATCAGCTGTCACAAAGAAGGCCAGGATTGGTACTTATCAAAAATGACTTATGGAGATTTTGTTAGGATTGTGGGGCACCTCAGTCAACTGTAGTCTCTGAGTATTTTACTGAAACATGGAGCATTTTAACTATAACTTTGCTATACCATTAGAAAATCCAAACCCACTGCCACAGAATCTATTCCAACTCATAGTGACTCCCATAGGGTTTCTAAAGCTGTAAATCTCATCTTCCTTCCTTGGAGCAACTAGTGCATTTGAACTGCTGACCTTCTGGTTAGCAGCCAAATGCCTTACCCACTGCACCACCAGGCTTTGCCATTGTTGTTGTTGTTATGTGCCTTCGAGTCGGACCCGAATCATAGCGACCCCTCCTTGGGTTTCCGAGGCAGTATCACTATAGAAGTAGATTGCCCAGTCTTCCTTCCAAGGAGTGGCTGGTGGGTTTGAACCTCCAGACTCTTGGTTAGCAGTCAAATGCCTTAGGCACTACGCTACCAGAGCTCCCAGGCTTTGCCATTAGCACCTGCTTAATGCCTAAGAAGAAGGAATGACTTGGGAAGCAGACAGTGGGTTCTGTAGAATTTAGACAGGGAAATCATGGGTATGAGGATTTGGAAGGAAGCTGGGTAATATCCAGGGACTGGGGGTTGGTAAAGACATCTCACATTTCTGAGCCTCTGTTATATGCTACACACTTGTTCTTGGCAAAGTATGCATTAGCTAATTTAAACCTCACTACTTATTTATTGGGAGCTCTGATAGCATAGTGCCTAAGGCACTTGACTGCTAACCAGAAGACTGGTGGTTCAAATCCACCAGCCACTCCTTGGAAGGAAGTTGGGCAATATACTTCTATAGGGATACTGCCTCAGAAACCCAAAGGGGGGTCGCTGTGAGTCAGATCCAACTCGATGACACATAACAGCAACAACAAAAACAACACATATTTAATGCACCACTCATCTGTCATTTTATTGTACTGTGGTGGCTTATGTGTTGCTATGATGCTGGAAGTTCTGACACTGGTATTTCAAATACCATTAGGGTAACCCATGGTGGAGCTTCAGTGGAACTTCTAGACTGAGACAGACTAAGAAAAAAAGGCCTGGTGATCTACTTTAGAAAATTAGCCAAAGAAAACTTTATGAATCATAGCAGAATATTATCCAGTATAGTGCTAGAAAGAGCTCTGGTAGTGTAGTGCCTAAGGCACTTGACTGATAACCAGAAGGCTGGTGGTTTAAACCCCCAGCCACTCCTTGGAAGGAAGGTTGGGCAATCTACTTCCATAGTGATATCACCTCTGAAACCCAATGAGGGGTCACTATGAGTTGGGTCTGACTCGACGGCACATAACAACAACAACAACATAGTGCTAGAAGATAAACCCTGTAGGTTGGAAGATCCTACATAACAGCTGCAACAATGGACTCAAACATCCTTACAGTCATGAAGGGCAAGGTTTTGTTCTGTTATATATAAGATGACCATGAGTTGGAACCAACTTGATGGCAATTAACAACAATAACCACACATTCTTAGTAGGCATGTATCACTTCCATTTTAAGGTTGAGGAAAATGAATGTTATATGACTTTTTTCTAAGATCACACTTCTAGTAAGGATTGACCAAGATTCAGACATATTTGCTACTACACTGTGAGGATTAGAATTGGGAACCTAGGAGTTAGTGCCTGTGTTGGATTGGGTTCTCTAGAGAAACACAAAAACCAGCAAAGTATATATATATATATATATATATA